CCGCTCTTACATTTTAAAATAAAATGCACCAATGTAAAGTCTGTCTCTCTCAGATCAACACCAAATATTAACACAATTACAATTTTGGCCCTTAAAAGGCACACTTGGCAAAATGATTTGCAGGCAAAAGCTAACAGATGTTACCATACAGAGGTGTGCGTATACAGGTATACAGAAGTGTCTCGAGAACCAGTCTGCAGATGCAGCGAGTAAAGCAAGCACAAAGTCCAGGCTCCCCTGCTCAGTCCATTCACTTTGCAGCAGGGTTCTTGGGAGGCTGCAGTCTGTAGGTACTGAAGTAGTTCACCACCTGCTGAGGGACTTCCGCCAGGACACACTGTGCCAGAGCTTCCCTTGGAGACTTACGAAAAAAGAACACCAAGTTTCAGTTTCCACCAACTGTTAATGGAGATCCTAGGACAGGTAATAAGCACTTTCTCTACCAGGCCAATTTAAAGCCATCATTTTACAGAGGAATTTACACAGTGCCCTTGTGGGACAGATGGAAGCTACCCTGACATCTTTACTTTCTCACTCCCATTACCAGGACCCAGAGGGTGCCTTGCTCCACTGAAGAAACGGAAAGTGGGTGCACAAAGGGCCGCCTTGTCGAAGATATCATTTGTCATAATAAATACACACAGAGGGCAGACATCAAACTTCAGCCATATAAATGCAGCCCCACTATCTGCATTAGATGACCCTTCAAGGGCTTAACCATCTGCAATGTTTTGCACTAAGTCTCATCTACAGTAACTGCACTGCTACAGAGCCGCTCTTCTAGAGATACTGTTTTTACTGTAAGACTAAGTACCCATGGGAAAAAGTGCTCCTTTCTCTAGAAACTGAAAGCATTTGAATATACTCATTTTATAGCGAATATTGACCCTAGTTAATCTACATCCAAGGGCACTATTCAGTAAACATATTCTATATTGATTTTGTTCTTCTCCTTTCAGTTTGCTTGAGTTGCTCTGAGATTAAACAACTTGTATCAAAAGTAAAAATAAAATGTCAAAATAAGAAGGTATAAGGAGAATTATTAACAGGGTTAATAGTAAGAAACAAAACAAAACTGGATCATATTAGGATGGAAATAATACTAATCTTATCTTCACCATCCTGATGAAATATTGAGGGTTTTGCTTGGTTTTGGTTTGTGGTTTTTTTGTGTGTGGTTTCTTTCTTTTTCTTTTCAGATCAACATTTTCAGCAATATGACATTTAAATGTCAGACTATATTGGACTGTGAATATTTTATTGGGTTCTACAGCAAAAAAAAAAATCAATACTTCATTCTCTCACCACCTATTTTTTTGGTATATTTGCTTTAATAAAAAAACCTATCATCACTAATGTGTCCACACATGATTTCTACTGATTTTGACCTCCCTCCACTGCACTAAAATGTGAGACTAAACCACATTTACAGAGGGGTATCCACAATAAAAAACATTTTTCCATAAAAGCAAAACTACAGTAAGTTCCTTCTCCCAAATGAAGAACATATCCATTTGTTTAATCAAGTCTGAGGGAGATTCACAAAGGTTACTCCCCTGCAGCACCTCGTCAGAAACGCAGCGCTCAAACCAGAAATGAGGTCTTTTTAAAAATGAATCAGCTCACCTAAAGGAAATCCTACTGATGCAGAACTCTTCTTTTTTTCAGTATTTGATAAGCACTTATGTCAGATTTCAGAGCACGGTTAGAGACACTGCAAAAGCTTAGGACTATACATAGGATATCCCAGCAAACCCAGCATAACTCTACAATATTTATTAAGAATACCATGAAGATTACTTACATTTTGGAACTTCCTGAACGGCACAAACTGGACAATGTCTCTGACAGCCGGTTCTCCTGACGAGGACCTAAGAACTCCATTGTCACCATCAAGAAATTCCATAGCATCGAAGTCTGCTCCTCCAACACCAACAATGATAATGGACATGGGCAATTTCGAAGCATTAACTATGGCAGTTCTAGTTTGGTCAAGGTCTGTTATCACACCATCCGTTATGATAAGAAGTATAAAGTATTGCTGTCAAATCAATAAACACTGTGTTATGACAAAGAAACCGTAAATATGTAGGCATGTACACTTAGAAAAATACACATACAGACTACATACCATTGTCATTTTGAGCATGTTCAATGCACTCACTGAATTTTACAGTTAAACACCTAAGTTGTGGTCAGGCTCCATCAGTACAGTCCAAAGAAATTTATAAGGACAACATCTTGTTGCCTCTCCAAAATCCTCATTTTCAAATTTCTTTAATCATTTTTTCTAGCTGCTTTATGAAGTTAACTACCAAGACGTCTGAGACCAACTTGCAGTACTCTAATAGTTTACTGTAGTACCACTTGAGCTGCTTTCATTATACTACCAAGATTTCTAAAAATTGGCACCTTAGCCTTTGTTCCAGATTGAAGTATCAAGAACAAGCAGCACAACAGCTGGACAGCAATTGGGCAGCACAAATTAAAGTTTCAAAGGTACTCCCAAGTATTCTTATAAGTTGTCTTCTTCAGTACTTTGGTTCCCACCTTCCCTTATCTGCCTCCAAAACAACTGGATTTTCCCTTATCTCCTGTGTTCAATTACCACTGTGTCATTGCTGCCCACCACTCCATTCCAGCAAGAATGTCTACACAGCAACCATGATCAGAGGCTATGACCAGCAATTGACAGCACATCACATTGGATTTTTCTCTTATACTTATAAAAAAACAAAAACCATACAAAACTGGCAAAACAGAAACCAAAAAAACCACCACAACCCAAAACCAAAGCCCCAGCAAAAATATCTACAACATGCATTAAGTGGCAAGGCAGCTAAATTTCTTCAATACATTTTTTCAGGCAGAAAAAATTAATCTCTTGCTAGGCATATTGCACTCTCAGAAAAAAACCCCACAAACCAGTACAAGAGGTTTCTGCTGTTTTCCTAATACATATATATTGATGACAGTTACTGCTGAAAGACTACAAGGGAGAAAACTTATAAACCTCTTGGCATACGAAAATCCATAGCTCTTTTCCAAATTGGTTTCTACAGGTACTTTTATATGCAAAAATAGCTAACTTCATTTTTTGATTTTACATTACATTTGCTATCATCAATGCTTTAGGATATATATGGCTTCAGATTTACCAAACTTGCATGGATTATTATCCACATGATTCAATACTGAAGACTTGCTCTTCAGACTTCCAATTTTGTAACATGGTCAACAACTCACACATGCAATTTTAAAAGGAAGGTGGGCACAGCACATACAGCATCTAAAGCTTTGTAGTAAGGACAGTTAATTATCTATGTTGGTACACTGGTTTTGGGAGCTATAGCATCCATTTCTTGATTACCTTATCTCTCTCAGCTATCTGATGTGAAACAAGGTCTAGTTGATTTTTTCTCAGCTGAGGTTAAATCACTCTTCTATATGTAAAGGCTTAAATTAGACTTTAAGTCCTGTATAGCATTGCAAGAGCTTTGAATAGAAGGTGCCATGTATTTTTAAGTTGCTATTTCAATTCTGAAAATATTTAGTTAATTTAGGAGAGAATTATTTTGTAGAATCTGCAAAAATCAGTTAGCTTTTATCTCATTTTAGGGATACCAAACACTAATTCACAAGGTAAGTGGCCAGCTGTCAAAGAAAAAAGAAAAATACACATACTACCATGAAGAACTTACAGATGCTGTTTGCTGTTGTGTAGCTGCAGCAGCAAATCTTGCCACATGATTTATAATCGGAGAAAAATTTGTTGGCCCATGTAACTTCACTTGAGGAAGACAAGCCCGATATGCATCAACAATGCCTTGGATTCCTACAGAAAACAAACAAATTTTATAGTTTTTTTTCATATTACAACCAGGATATTTTGAAGCACTCAATCTTCCTAAAACACTGTATATCGGTTATTTAAAGTAACGATGCAAAGATTTAAAACTAACCATGATGAAAAAAAATTATTCATGAGCCATGGAGGTCTTCAGCCTGACCAACACTTAATGCACACGCTTAACATGCTTGGCTTTACATGAACAGAAAGGCCAAATACTGTGCGCGTAACTGAATTATAACGGTTCTCTTTGCCTGGCAGCCTGTGATCAGAGTCCATGCCGAACAGGCACTAGCAGCCTCATACTCAAACCAGACAGCTCCACACCAGCAGTGAAGCAGAATGAAGTGGCCCAACAACACGAGAGAACAGTTCCCAGCTCACCTGTCCTGTGCCCTAGTTTTTTCAAACACTTCTTTCACAACTCATTACAGAGACCAAACGCTATTTCTAATAACTAAGAAAATGGCTATAAAATGTTTTCATGCAACATGAGAAAACTCATTATTCAATTAGAACAACATGCTTCACAGTTCACCTTTCAAGTGGTTTTTATCTCTTCACCTCAGACATTTTATTCCCTAGGTCTGATGTTACTTTCCCAGACTTACCATTACAGAATGGGTTTGCTGGGTTAAAATTTAATGGGAACTCATGTGACACCTGTTAATACACAAAAGATACAGTCAGGACTGCATATACAATCTCCTCCTGAAGTTCTGTTTGCTGACTTATGTAGTGCATTTACATATCCCATTACCTGAAAAGAAGGTGGAATTTGTGCACCAAATCCAAAGGCTGGAAACATCTTGTCTCTAAAAAAGCAATTTTAAAGAAAATTAAGTGAGTGCCTTCCTTTAAACACTGTCATAGCTCAGTAAGTTTAGCTAATCGGTGCTGCTTTTGATCATTAAAAATGCTGTTAAGCATTAAGAGGCAAAATTAAAAGGAAGTTCCATCCTGTAATTGTTTCTAGGACCAAAACCAGTCTTTAACACCAAATTGGCAAGAATGCAAGCATTTATTTAAATTAATGCTTCTCTTTACATCACAGATGAAAAGCCTTGCTTGTCTGCTGTAAGCACAAGCTTCTGCTTGTGATTATGTGATTGTGCAGTGATTATGAAGTCTTTTTATCTCTATATTTCAGCTCAGAAATTTCTTTCTTGTATATATGACTGCATCTTCAACATTGGTTTGAGAAACTACCACAAAAATCTATCTATATCTAAAAATGATTTAAATAAAAATATAAAACTTACGTATCATAATCCTGAATGACCATTCCTACAGACCAAATGGCTGTTAGGTATTCATTAACTCCATTAGGACTGAGGTAATGCAGAGAGTCTGGAGAGCGAGGGTCTCCATTGGAGCCTGTAAAATCTATCCCCACCTGTCAAATGCAGTATTTATAATCAAATTGCTGTTAAGAGGTAAAACTCTATTTCTTATCTCTGGCAAAGTGCAAATGAAAATCATGAAAGAGCCGTAAACTGTAGTTACCAGGACATCTACAAATCTAACAGGCACAGTACTTACATGCAGGCTTCTTGAAACATTAAACACCCTTAAAACAATGCCACTGCAAACCCAGCAAAAGCTCTGCATCTCTCCATATGACAGGTTTTCTCTGTGTTTACTTTCAGTTCCCATTCACAGAAGCTCTTCAGTAGCTGTCAAATTAATTTCATCCTGTATCTTGCCATACACATCTTTCCCCTCAGAAGTATGAGTAGTCAGACACCACAGAAACCTAGAGGTGGTTCTTTCTCTGACTTCAATGGCTCTTCTTTGCTTTGGCAATGAGGCATATTACCCGGTTGAAGATATCTTACTGTTATTTGTGCTGTACTTGGTTCACAAATTACCTAACTTAAGGGTCCTAACCCATATGGTGGCTTCTGTATGTTACTTTCATTAAGTAAAAGGTCTTGAAAACCACCATCAAGAGCAACAGTGAAATTTTTGGTCAGAAGAAGGGGGGGGGCGGGGGGGGGAGCGAAAGAAGGGGCCCTTGTGAAAAGGAAACTTGAAGTAAATCAGAGAACTGTCACTTTCTCCTCAGTCTCCACGCACAGCTCAGCTAGTTCCTAAAAAAATTCAAAACTTTGTGCCATAAGTATAAAAAATATATTTTCTCTAAACAGACTCAATGTACTCTGGCAAAATGGCTTCGCCCCTCCATACTACAGAACAACAACAAAAAAATACAATAATCAAATGAAAAGCACAGGCAATCAATTATATACTGCAGTTTATTCCAAAACTCAAAAGCTACTTTATATAAATGGTTTAACTTACTGTGAAATTCAGCTGACACCCACCCATGATGTAATCAAGGAATGTGCATTCTACTATGATCTAAAAATAAATGTTAAAAGATAGAAATTATTTTCTTTAAATGAGAGAAAACCAGTATTATTGCAGCAACTTCTGAGGTTCCAGATTTGCTATCTTTACCCATGCAAAGCACTACTTTTACTCTATAGATATTGCAGTGGGAATATTTACAGCATGTACTATCACACACTCAGTGCATTGGAAATTACAGGCAGACAACAAAGCAGCTCCAAAAGCACTACCATTTATAAAACAACATATTATGACTGACTTACCAGATTTTAATTCACCATAAAATGGTGAGCTGAGAAATGCAGTGGTTCAGGAACGGACCTTACAAATTGGTAAGCAGCTTTTGCCATATAGATGGCATCTTCAAGAGAAAGTGAGGGGACAGGGGAGGACAGACACATGATCTAGCTTGTCCATCTGTCTCTATATATGAATCAGAGCCCTTACATATTTATTGTGTCTGGAACTTTCAGATATTTTAAGGGTTTTTACAGTTTGAGGGTGAAGGCATACTAGATGAGAGTTGTTATACCTGAACACTTACAAACACAGACTCATACTAGAATGTATTACTGACCTCACAGTGCTTAAAGCTCACAATGCCAGAGTTTTTATAGTTTTTTTTCTTCTGTCTTTTCTTTTCATTGATGCACTCAAATTCAACCTGCATGAATGCAAACAAACAAAACAAAAGCATTACAAATATAATTTATGCAACATATTTAAAAATTCTTCATTCGAGGGCTGATACTTTGGGCTTGGATTAAAAATGCATTTTATTTCACTATCAAGCAAAATGAAACACAGCCTGCACAAAATCAGCAAAAACCCACCAAATTATCAAGACACAAATTACCCAAACGCTTACAAATATGTTTGCTTAGACAACTGTATTTCAACTTGATGAAGAAATTCTGTACCATCTACCCTCTGAGGATTCTGCTAACAACTTTCTTTTTGGTAAAGGCATGGTGATTCAGGCAAAGCATCACTGTTTCCAGCAGCTGGGGCAGTAAAATGCAACTTAAGAGGTGTATGTTTAAGCTTTCCAAAATTAGTTGTTGAGGCTTTATCAACTAATCCAATACCCTAACTTCCAAGTGCAATCAATGGCCAACCAGGTTAAGCAGCTGTGCAGTCATGATGGCGCAACACAGTGTGTCTGGTGCATAAACAGTCTGAGGAAGTATTCCAGACATGCCTTGTGGCCCAGTGCCTGAAACAAGTTCTGTTGCTTTGGTTTAAGTTAATTAAGTTTCTAAAAATGATCTTGCAATAATCTTAAGCAAAAAAAATGCACTAACAAGGCCAGCACCTGAGAAGTCTACAGACCTCTTCTTTACCTTCTCTTTTTTGGACATTTCACCACCAGTATCACTTCTATTTGATGGAAACTGTCTTTCAGTGACTTGTTTCCATACTATGTCAATTGGTGAGGTACTTGCTAATAACAGCCACAAGATACATAGCATTTATAATCTTTCAACTACGTTATATAATCCTCCAACCAGAGCTCACTAACAGCATGCTTGGAGGGAATATACAGCTTAATGGAAGAGGAAAGTAAATTAAAAAAAATCTGCAGTTCTTCAGAGAACAAAAAGCCACCCATTCACTCCAGTCACAGTGTCAGCATTTTCAGCAACTGGGGATAGAGTCACACCCATACTCGCCTCAAGCAAACCTGAAAGAGGTCGTGTCAAATCTCCCACAGGTGCACCTGATGTCAGAACCACGGGAGTAACCGAAGGTCACATTTGGAGTATATAAAGTCAAATTCTCACGTGCACTAGAAATATTTTACAGACATCAAACTAACCAGATCACACAGGATTAGAGGTTAGCTCCTTTTAAAAGCAGAAGAAACCTGGAGCACGTTATTTGTGTTGTCTCTTATCCTCATCTCATCTTACTGACACAGAAGTAAGTTACTTAGATCCGGTATAGCCACCGTTCTCATGAAAAAAAACTTTTCCAGACAAACAAAAGCATTTCCAGAACTAGCACAGACAGATTGTAATTTAAAATATCTTTTCTTTAAGTTCAAAAGAGACCACACTTATTATGCTACTAGGGGAGCAACGAAAATAAATATTTGCATTCTCAAGGAGCCTTTACATAACATGTTTCATGCTGCATGGGAACTCACTATCACAGTTCTTACAAAAAACATGTGCTTGAAAATGTGAATGCACAAATCTGCTAGGTTTGTTTAATTTATGTTATTGCTCTATAACAAAAAATGCAACTTCTTTTTAAAAAAGAAAAAAGAAAAACATCTTGTTAAGAGATTCATAAAACCTTCATTAAAAAGCAGAAAAAATTATTTTATTAAATCTTCCTGCTCCCCGATTTATTTTTTTGCACAATTTAATTACAATAATAAGAAGGATCACTGTCGGTATTGAAAGGAAAACTGATATCATCTGGCCCCTGCAAATTTAGAAAAAAATGAGAAAAACACTTAAGAGCTCCAACTAGGCAGCATATGAATTACATGCATTCTGTATGAGTATAAAATTCCTCAAACAATATAAACCTTAAGAGACATTAAACTTAAAATCATGCATAATTCAAAATTAATTCGGAAAGAGATATCCAAAAGAAAAACATGGCAAGGCACAAAGGAGCAATCAAAACCCACAACAGTCAAGGTTGACTCTTCATATTCAATAGCTCTGAAGAATTTAATACAAAGGCAACACTCAAGATGTCAGAAAAGTACAAGCAGGCACTCAAGATACCCCTTTATTAATGCAGGAGCAGTTCTGCAGGTTCTACAGAACTAAAAGATGGTAAAATACTTTGACAACATGCATCCCCATAAAACAAAACTTGTATGGTAAGGTTGCTATGCCACCTTTCTTCTTCTAAATGTAAAGCTTGTCTATTAGAAGATTTGCAAATTGTTACAGTTCATAAGAACAGGAGGGATAATTTCACTTTAAAAAAGAGCCACCCAACATAACACATTCAGTTCCATTTTTGTGCAATGGCATAAGCGCTAATTTTCATCATGTTCAGTGAAGTACACATTATAGCTGGAAGTACACATTATAGCTATATTATAGCTGTGAAGTACACATTATAGCTATATTTCACTGGAACAGGCTGCCCAGAGAGGTTGTGGAGTCTCCTTCTCTGGAGACATTCAAAACCCGCCTGGACGCCTTCCTGGGTAACCTCATCTAGGTGTTCCTGCTCCGGCAGGGGGATTGGACTAGATGATCTTTTGAGGTCCCTTCCAATCCTTAACGTTCTGTGATAGCTGATAAGTGCTCTATTTGAAATAAAGGGTTAAATAAAATCTGAAAAATATACTAAAAGCCTTTTAACTGCAGTGAAATTTGTACTGTAATCTGTCTTTTGACAGTCTAAATTGTTTTCATTCTGTATTTTTTATCATTAGTGAAATTTATTTGTGCTGATGGTTGGGCATTTAGATATGTAATATTAAAAACTGTAACCAGGATGTTAATCCTCGGAAAGTGGATGCATTATGTAAATTGTGAGTCAGCCTCAACTACAGCAGCATTGTCAAGGTGTAGCCTAACACAATTTCAATATTGGCAAGTCAAGTGATTTAAGTTTTGCTCCAAATTGAGTACAATGGCTTATCAAAAACACACAGGAAGCTTAGAGTATGTGAGACTTACAGGTGAGGACCGAGACGCTTCCTTCAGTTTTGACATTGTAGTTTGAAAACTTCCTATGAGATCATGGGAACCATCACCATCGTAGTCATAGCACTCAACCTGAAACAAAGCATTATTCAGTGTTAGTAACAGAAATGGCCCTACAAAAGCAATAAACACCAACAGCATTTCTAGTTCAGGCAAACCTGAACATCCAAAACATTCCTCTATCTCTTACATCACGGAGGTTTTTCTCCTGTTGCAGACTTAGAATTGCATAGAGTTGTATCCAAAAATCATGGATTAAGATTGGGTAAAAGCCGATACACCCAATTTCCCTAAGAGCTGTGACAAACTGTCTCTGAGCATCCAGCTAAAAATTTAGTAAATCAGTTATTCGTGATCACAAGTTTTATTAATACTTTTATATTACTTTGTTAATCTTCAAGATAACTCAGATTTTATAAGTATATGAAGGTTCAGTCCCAAATCTAGAAACAAGACTTTAATTTATTTTAAGACTAGCAAATTTAAACAGTCACTATGATACACACTTCATGGATTGGAACATAAACTAAAAGTCCCTCTTTTCCTATACTCAATGTTTAATGCAAAGTTTTACTATTCAATCAACTCATCTTTTAACACCTCAACCCACCAAAGGCGGCAGAACAAGTTGAAAATAGACTTCTTTTCTGTTTGAAAACCTATCAGTTTGAAGAATGTGCCCAAATTGCCTTTCTAGATAACAAGTATTTATCTATAATAGCATATGATAATTCCATCTACTTCTGATATTTTATTTCAGTTTAGCAACAGACATGCTAGCTAACTTAATCAAATCACAGAAACCCACATGAATTTAATAATAAAAACTATAATTATAAATAATAACAATAATAAATCAAGAGTCAAAGAAGGAATCCCTGTTATTTAGGATCAAAACAAACTTCAAAAAAACTTTTCCGAATATATGGCTTAAACAGGTTTTCATATCTGTCTTTCCAGACTGAAAAAAATCCTACCTTATACTCAAAAATCAATTTAGTTCATTACTTGACCACTTCATTTACGAATAATGAAGTAAAACGAAACAACTTCAACATACAGCTGAATTTCTGAGAGGAGTTAACTTACTGAAAACACACAGTGATGTTGACATACAAAATGTGATGCTCAGATTGCAAGTTCTACACTGTACAGAACATGCCTCTATATTGCAGTCTGCACTACTCCTACAATTTGAATGCACTAATAAATAAATAACATGCATGCACATGCACTGAATAACAACTCAAATCTCATACAAGCAGCCACAGTGCCAACAGTCTAAATTTCATGGCACATGCTGTGTAAAAATTCTTTTGAATGCCACAAATTAAGCCAATCAAATACTCAGCCAAGTGCTTCAGTACCTGAAATTTAAAACTGAAGACATTTCCTAAGACAAAAGTTATGATACTTGTTCACAGCACAGTTATTTTTCCTTTTAAAGAAATTAAAATTTTGCCTTGATCTATTTGATCCATTTAAGCCAATTGGCAATACTTACTCCAGGTAAGACAAAAATATTTGTTTTGCTCCATGAATGCTCTCCTGGACACACAACAGTGCTAGGGAACCTCGTGATAAAGCTGCATCTCTATTCCCCCCAGCAGAACTAGGCATGCTTGCTCCAGATGAAAGGCTCACACTCTCAACAAAGACAAAAACTTCACTGACTGCAAACACACTCACGTGGAATACAGCAATAAATCCAGAAGATAAAACTTGGTTTGTACATTGCTGGGGATGCACAAACTAAGCCATTAAATAAGTGAAAAGACACTCATTATGGAAAAGTTGGTGGTTTTACTTACTATTGCAAATAGCCCATTATGTATACGACTGTGTGCATATAAAAGTGTTAAAAGCGTTGTTTAATCCTTCAACAACATTGTAATATAATTCTGCCTGCATTTTAATATTCAAAGTGATAGCTCCCAAATTTCTGAGACAAGACATAATCCTACTGCCTGTCTGCAAGTCTGTAACAATTCCAGATTCTATTTCCTCTGGAAATAAATGTGCACTTCTGAGGTAAGATTCCAAAGAACAGACTTTATTAAAATGATAATACAGTTGAGAGTAAATCCTTCTTAATAGATATATTTTAATATATTTTTTACAATGGTCTGTAGTTGTTTACTGAAAGGAAAAATATTTTTACAGAATAAATATATAAAACATAATATATTAT